CATGAGCCAGGTTTTTTTCAGTGGAGGGAGATCTTGAGGGAATTCTTTCTGTTAGTTGCTCTGCTGTTTATATTTTCTTAAGGGCTGAATATTGATATAACTAATTTTGCTGATGATACAAAGGGTAGTAAGGGTGAGGGCCAACTGCAATGAGTTGGAAAAGGATTTCATAATGTTAAATTATAAAATGGCAGCTGGAATTCAATAAAGATCTGAAGGTTGAAGAGTATATTAAACAAATGATGGAGAAGAATTTGGCTTACTTGACTAAAAAAAAAAAAAAATGGTGATAGGAAATCTGACCACCTTCTATAAAAGCAACATTAGGCATAAACACAAGAGGTGTCTAAACCAGAGAAAGAAAGCTGGCACTGCAAACAAATTTGGTATGGAAATTACAAGACTCAGCTGCCAGAAGGGTAAAACTCTAGATCAGCCTGTCCATGAGAGGAAAAACAGCCTAACTGGGCCTTAAGATAAACGTGGATAAGCACTGTGAACAAATTACACAATCTGGTTGCTATGACAGCTCAGCCAATCCAGAATTGGCTGGATTCAATAAGTGAAACTAAAGCAAAAACTTACCAGCACAGAGCAGATGCACAGTGACTTGTGTCTATGCAAAAGTAAATCCTCATGTGTTATCTATGCTGAAAAAAATTCCTGCTTCTCTCTTGAGATTATGACCAGTGAATTGTTGTATGTGCAGGAAGCCTGGGGGTAGCTAACAGTAACTAAGTCATGTTATCTCATGTTGGAGGTAACCAACAGTACCTCAAGCCTTCTATCACCAGAGACATAATTAGATTTAAGGCATTTTCAAGGGGGAAATAATGTTCCACTTTTATTCAAAATGTCTGTTTTTCCTTTGGATGTTTCTATGACAGCAGATGTGGGTTTAAGTGTAGAAATAGGCAGGCTCATATGACAGTCATGTCTTTTGCAAGCAGAATTATGACTTGCCAAAGTAGACCCAGAGCTGAGACAAATTAGTGACAGGTTAGTTAGCTAGCACAGAGAATGCTATTAGTTAATTAAAATAAGCTGTGTCCATGTTACCATCTTTCTTCACAGTAGTGAGGTTTTGAAGTGATTTCCCCAGTGCATTGGTTTGGTATGTGGAGCAGCTGGGGTGTGCATAACAGATTTCTTTTGGGTTAAACTAAACTGCAAGCTCTGCTCCAAAAGTGTCCCAAATGCACCCCAACCCCTCAGGGACCCATTAGGATTTGGACCCAAGAGTGGTTGGTTGGATAGTTCTTACTTCCTCTTTCTCCAGTCAACCACCACAGGAACACATGAACTGTGCCTAAACCAGAGAGGCAGTCCCAAGCTATTACATGCCACAGGGGACATCAGGTCCTCGCTGTTCCACCATGGTGCTGCCAGACATTCCCACGGACAGTCACTGATGACTGGAAACCAGCCAGGAAGGGCACACTGGGAGAGCACAGTCTTACCCCAGCCCTGATACTCAAGGGGGAGGGCAAAAAGTGACCTGGCTAGGCCAACTAGGTTGTTTTACAGTTGGCAGCTGGACAGGATGAAGGGTTGTATAACACCAGGCAGATGATATTGGCTCACTTCATAACATATACACTTCCCAAGCATAAAAATTCTGCCTTGAGCAAAATTAGTCGTCTGATGTTTTGCCTAGGTTTTAATCATTTAAGTTACCAAAGACCAAATTTGCTTAATGGTTTGTCTTACTCGCCTCAGTTTAATACCCTTAGGGAAGAAAGATTAGTTACTTGTGCTTTTTCCTCTTTTAAAAAAAAAAAAAAAAAACATAACTGACTCACCACCTAATTCATAAAGTTTCTTCTTGAGTCTCTCTTGACTTAGCTTTCTCTAGCTTTTTCTGTTTTATTTTTAAAGACATTTTTACAAGCACATCCTTCATGTTGCTAGGTTTCAAGAGAAAAGAAATAAAGGAAGAAAACAAATCAATATTTTTTAAAAAGACAGCCCTTTGTCAAAAGTCCAAAAGGAAGTATAAAGTAATATTCTTCTACTACTCATGTACCAACCTTCCTGATGCATTTTTTCCTCATTTCCATTTTTTGTTGTATACAAAATTGTGTCAGTAAGCAACAGTAAATACTTTAAGACTAACCAAGAAAATAAGGTGCTAATGAAATACTTATGAACTCATGTGTCACATAATTACAAAAATTCATCTAAGTGGTGCTCTTGCTGTCCTCTTGTGTTTATATATTTGTGTGTATGCATGCAAGCTTCTATGTGTCCAGTGAACTGGCATAACATGGAAACATCATTGAACTGCAAAGATATAGCAATATATGCAACAGATTAGGACAAGAAGCAAAACCACCTGAAATGCATCCAGTTAAAAATACAGAAAGAATTTAGGTTGACAAAACAGAGCAATCAGATTAGCTGGGACAGAAATATTATTGCTCTTTACTCTTGTGAAATGTGCCATCAGCTCTCTAAGACCATGTGAAATCAAGGCTTCAGGGTAACTTTCACATCCAAAAGCATCCAGGCAAGATATCAATGTCAACAGAAAAAGGGCTCTTCTGACACAGCCAGAGGTAAAATACAAGTAGAAATTGAATGATTTCTTTGGATGATGAGGATACAGCTTGGCACCAGCTGTGGACATATTTGAATACTGGGCAGCAGCACAGTCTGAGATTTATAGTATTTTGGAAGGAATGAGCAGGTTGCTGATTTATAGCAACAGAGTTAAGATGAGCCCACAAATATCATTTCTGTCCATTACCTCAAACTTGGTGATGTTAATAGAATGAGACCCACGTATGAAATATTCCCTTCTTTTTCACCATAAAATCAAATCTTAGTGATCTTATTTGTAAAGCTGCATCCAGTTTTTTATACTTCCACCTGAAGAACACACAAGCCAAAACTGTAAGCAGTTACATGGGAGTTATACAAGCTTTCAGAAAACAAAACAAAACAAAGAACAGACAAACAAAAAAATCCAAACAAGATCCTAATTCTGTGTTGTTTTGGATTTCAAATCAAGGGCTTTAAAAAATGCCAAAATTCAAACCCAAATAATTCTGGCCTCACCGCTCCCATAGTGGATATAAAGACTGAAGCAAACAGTTAAGCCACAATATTGATAGATCTGCAGTTCTGTTACAGTTCATGCAGAAAGCACTGCTATGCGATTGAGAGTCAAAAACATCATGAATGAAAGCTATCTAAAACTGGATACAGCACTAGTAGTTGTATATAGAAATCTAAATGGACTTTTAGAAAAGAAAGTATATGAAACCCTATCTGCATAGTCTCCAGAGTTACTTCTCCATAGATTATTACTTTCTATTCAATATATTTAAGATAATCCAACACAAGATAAATGATATTTTTATTATCTGTAGGAATTTGCATGAATACAATTACTAAAATTTGCACATTAATAAAAATAGAGAAAAATCACACAAAAATGTTATTTAAAAAAATAAAATATTATCTTCCATTCAAAAATTATCCAAGTTTTATCATTTAGACTTTAGAATGTACTTAACTGAGGGACTGATAAAAGTCCATCATTTTAGCCATTAATCTACCGTCTGCAGTAAGTGATATTAACAACAGAAACTATTGGGAATTATATAACAGAGTTGACCCAAATTATAGGCCTAGGAAATTGAAATTAATTAAACTTAGAATGCTAAATGAAAAAGATTTTTTTCAAATCAAAGAGATCTGAAAATTCCCAAATTTATACTATGCAAATGCTAATCACCAAATAAAATGAAAGAAAAATGTCTTGTGAAGCTAGTAAATTGTTTAATATCATGTAATTATTTGAAAATCTTTTCCTCCTCCTTTTATCTTCTTTCTCAGACTAGTTACTATCATGAACTGAATGTTGCCAGAATGAGTTTTTACAGATATTTGCTCCTTGGAATGTGGGGTGGTTTTTTTGTTTTGTTTTGTTTTGTTTTGGTAGGTTGGTTGGTTTGGTTTGTTGTTGTTATTGTTGTTTTCTCAAAATTAATGACACATCTTGCAGAATTCAAATGCTCATATCCACCTACAAAAACCTTTGTACAAATTTCTTTCATTTTTATTTGCAGTGTTGCCATCAAAAAGGGAAGAATAAGAAGTTTAATAATTTGGTGAGAAAAGATGTATTCATGTTTTAAACTGTGCCTTGATGAAAAATACTGTGTTTAAATTCCAGTTATGTTATTGAGCCAGAAATGGAAATGGCCCTCTGAGTCACTGAGTGCAGTCCTTACCACTAAGCCTTCACCCCAAGCAGCCAGCTCACTGTGCTCCTTACAAACAGGGACCTGTCAGCCTAGCCCTCCCTTGAAGGCTGAACCCTCCGATATTTCCAACTCCACTCTGCATTTATTCACAGTAACACCCATCTGGTTTTGTGTCAGCAATAACTTTCAGGGCAAATATTTATGTTTCATGAAGATAAATAGAATTAAACAAAAACACCTACTTCTTTATGGCAGAAAAAATAAAAATCACTTTTCCTAAACACAAGTAAAGTTACTAACTTTTGGTATTTTTAATTAAAATTGATATCCATATGCTAGTGTGAGGTGTATTAAATGAACTTTGTATACTTTAATGTTTGGCAAGTACATTTTATACTTATATATGCATATATACATACTTTTTTAGTTTGTTTGTTTTTTGTACCTCTTTTTGCTGTTGTTCTATTTCCATTATTGCCAAACCATCTCATGTTCCCTTGTACCACTCACAAGGCCCATAGACTACAACTCCTCACATAGTATATGGGACTGGAACTTAATTTTTTCTGTAGCCTCTGAGAGCCTGCATGATAATTGTTTCCTTACGTCCTTCTGCACATAAAGGCATTACCTTTGAAAGCTTCTAGAGATCCTGGAGTAAGATTCAAATATGGTAGCAAGATATCCACAGGAAGTGCTCGTTGGCTCTGTCCCTTCACTTTCTACTTTTGCTTTTCCTGCAGTACTTTCATTAATTTTACTCTTTTCTCATTCTCTTTCTGTCAGTGTCTCTCCCTGTGCCAGCCCGTGGTGCCTGAGGACACAGTGCAAAGAAGGAATGCGACAAGAAACGGCTGCCAGAGGTAAGTCTGAATAGCCATGAGGACAAGGTGAAAAGGAACCCTTTTCACTGTCGGTAGCTGCTTGCCTATACGTGACATTTCAGATGGCTTGCATGAGGTGGTGCCAACAAGACATATACAGCTATCACTCCAAATGAATGACTGCTGTCTGAACCAAGACAGCAAAATGACAAGGTCTAAAATATGGGTGTCATTTTAAGATTGCAATCCACAATTGACTTCTGATCTCCCCTAAAATCAACAGTGTTATTTTTCAAGGAATCATGGAATCACTGTGGTTGGGAGAGACTTTGGAGTCCCCTTCATCTGGCACAGCACCCTGCTCAGGGCAGGGTCACCTGCATCAGGTTGCTCACAGCCACATCCAGGCAGTTCTGATGTCTCCCAGGATGGAGATTCCACAACCTATGGGCAACCTGTGCCAGTGTTTGACTGACCTCACAGTAAAAACATGTTTTCTTCATGTTTTCTGATGTTTCTTTCAAGAAGCAAAAACAGTTGGGCATGAATGAAGGCAGTAAATAAACCAGTAGGGGAAAAAAAATAAAAGAAAGAAGAAAAAATAAAAAAAAAGTTAAAACAGATCCTCTAATGTAATTATTTGTATTTTACTGCTTGTAATTTCTCTGGTCACAACAGAAATTAGCACATCTTTCATGCTGGGAACTCATGCTCACAAGCCTTAGTGCTAAACTATGGGAAGCACGGTGAAGTCCCGCTGTGAGGTGAAGTCTCAAAATTCCAATTAAGTGCATGCTGTCATTGTACTAAGTATTGAAACAAAGGCAAATCGATGAAACTGAATTAGAATTTGTTTTATCATCTAATATACAAATACACTTTTTTAAAAAGCAATAGAGACACTCTCCTTTCCTGCCTATGCAATGCTTTATCTACAACCCAACAATTTAAACTTCTAAACAAAAATGGCAATAGATTATCTCCTAAGTTTCATCCAACATGTATAACAAAGGTGGCTTTTTCTAATAAGCTTCTCAGACAAGTATTTACACATGAATGCTGTTGTGTCTCTGACACTGCAGGACAAGGAGTGTTTATATTGCAGCAAAGCAGAGCATAATTTGGAACATACAATTTTCCTTCATCTCCTGTGATGAGGGGAGGAGCTGCACTGATAAGTTGACATGCCTCACCAGTACTTCTTGTACTTCAGTGTAAACATTAAGTAAAATTTTTCTGTACCCAATGGATTTTTAGGAGGAAAAAAAAATTTAAAAAAAGATTTCAAATAGGTATCTAAAGCATGCTTATTAAGGTATAGATGTGTAACACATAAAGAAAACAAAGAAATGTGTGAAAATGGTTTTTGCACCTGCAAAGGATACAATACAGGTTTCAAGTCATAGGCCATTGATTGGAAATTATGAGATCCCAACTTTTTTCAATTTTTTTTCCACAAACACTTATTCTTAATTAAATAAATAAATAATTATATAAATAAAATTAGACAAAAACTCTACTCACTAGTAATTACCAGGTAAACTTTACCTATAAATTTACCTATAAAGTTTAGGCACTGTATTAAAAAAAGAAATACAACACTAACCCTAACAGGAACAACCTCTGAAATAGAAAATATATGATAAATCTCAATGAACACAATTTAAATATCATACAAGATAATCATGGCTCAGCATTGGCTGAGACCAAAATAAAGTATTTCACTTCATTCATAAACTCCCCAGAAAACGATACAATGTCTTGTGTACCTGACTGCCCTTTAATTTAATTAAATCCCTTCACTAAATACCAGCCAAATGGCCAAGATGTGACCGTGTGATTTCCGATCATTTTGTTTACTATTTTCCTTCCACCAAAATAATCAATTGTGGCTGGCGAGGGCGAGTCACTTCATTCTTTCAGAACTGCAGATCGGGATTTTTGACACTACCTATAGCACACATTAAATAACTACTACACTTGCACAATATTCTCCATTCAACTTAAAATGAACTTGAGACAGTGTTTGGAATGCATTTCTTTTGTTTTCTGTTGCTTTTTTAGGCTTCTCAACTACATTGCAGGATACAGGAAAAAAGGAACATGGTAAGAAAAAGTAACGTTAGGCAAAGAGGAAAAAAAGTCAAAACCAAAAAAAAAAAACAACTTCTAAGCATTTCCATAGGCATCACTAGGTGTGCCCCGCAAAGTTTTGGGTAAAAGCAGCATTTAAAAGTGGGTGTGAGCGACAGAAACTGGCAGAAGCTAGGAGTTTTTGTCACTTACATTTATCCCAGAAGGTTGTTGCCATTACTTCGGCAGCGCTCTCACTGGCTGGGAGGATCACGTGACCCGGGGAACTAAAATAGAAAAGTCTCAGTAGCGAGGAAACTGAACCAGAAGCACATTTGCAAGAAAACACGTATCACAAGCATAATAACACCCCCTTAGCAAAGAAAGGTGATAAATTTAGAAGGAAACCTATCCTGTATTCAAAACACACAGCCTTGCACTGTGCAGCCTGGCATCGGTCCCCAGTTCGACATACGGGAAGTGTTTTCTGCTATAAATCTCAGTCCATGTCTATACGTAGCTAAAGCTGGTAACTGCTCTAATAAATCTCAACAAATTACCAAACCCTAAAAGAAAATCTGATCTATTAAATTTAAAAATAAACTTCCGCTGCTGGAACATTTTCATCTTCAGGCTGAGGTTTTTACAGTTGTTTGTGTCTACAAGAGAAGCAATTTTTTAAAAAGCATATGCTCTTAAGGTAATTGGGAGAGCTGTAAACATGCTGGAAGATTGCTTTCGGTTCTTTTATAAGTAAGTAATATGGTCGCAGAGCTATAAACTACTAAAGCATGGACCATAAACCTGCAAATTCTAAATAAAGAGAAGGCTTGACTAATCCAAGACAAAGGCTGCACAGATGAATTAGTGACCAAATGCAGGTTCTATACAATGATATAATATTATCTGATTTCAAGGTTGCTTTTTAATCATCACCAACAGAACAGCAGCTCTTCCCATTTTGTAAAGGTCTAGAAAAAAGTTCCAGCACAACCTGTTTGGATTACAGGAAATACACATTACCTTTTACACAGTTAACTTTTTCACCATTTACTGTTTTGTTTTAAATCAGATTATTTCTGATTTATATAATGTCAAGCATTCTTTATTTCTAACGTGTGTCAGGATGGTTAGTGTAGAAGGAGACATTACTAAAAGATGCAAACAGCAACATGAAGGAGACAGTGATCAAGGAAAGGAGAAATGTGTTTTTACATATTAACAGGACAAGGGCAGGAAATAATTTATTGCTCTACTCCCTAAAGTCAATCTTGCGGTTATAAGGCAAAATATTATAATGACCACCCTTTGAAAGAAAATGGCTTACACGGGCTGTTAAATTAAAACAGAAGTAGAGAAAACAATGCAAAACTCGTCATAGCAGACTCCCACTGTGCAATAAAAATTAGAATAATATGAAGAGGAAACAATAAACTAAATTATTCTCCTTGGATTGAAATAATACAAAGATAATTCTTCTTAATTGTAAAATCTGAGATTAAATTTCCCCCCAAATTACACTTTTTTTTATCAATCTACACACATACATGTATATACATACAAAATCAGAGAACATTTCAACCAAGACCAAAACTTTGATACCACATAACCAAGATCTATTTTATTCTACAGCATACCCCAAGACTTACACTGAATATTTCACAGAGTATTTTCACAGAGGTACTACTTCATGTATGACAGAGTAACACTAAAATGTTGCTCATACGTTCCCTGATTCTATTGAAATTTGTGAAAAGAAACACGAACATTGACTCAGAGTCAATAGATGAAGCACAACAGAACATACCTAAGCTGTTGCCATTGATTAATTACTAAATCTGAAAGATTGAGAGCTTACTTTTTTCTTGAAAAAAATACATTTTGAAGCCTGTTGTACATATTGGTGCACACATACATTCAGGTATTCAACCAGGTACACGTTATTTTTATTACTGTGTTCTCAGGAAAAGCTTTGCATGACTTTAAAAGTGCCATTATGCAGATAATGTGGCAGAACTGAATACACTGGAAGGTTTCCATTGATTGCAATAAGAGAAGTGTTGGGATACTGGAATTAATACAGTAAACAGTATATTCTGCCATAGATCTTAAAAAATGACTCAAAAAAATGGTTTCAGTTGTATATTCTTCACTGATTTAAGAGGCCTGGATGAAAAATTATCTCTTGAGTCAATTTTAAAAGTAATAACGGCATGCTATAACATAGTTTAGAGAAAGTCTAGATAAGTACTAATACCCTTTCTCAGGGTATTGTCACAGTGCATCCCAAACCCATTGCAAATCATCTCAGCAACACCTTTTTGTCACATACCTTGTTTTAGATATTTCATTTTAAATATTTTATTTTAGGTATTTTCCCACATTTCACTTTTCAGTTTGAAAGATGAAAAGCATATGGAGGAGGAAACACAACAGCATTCCACCATAGATAATTTAATGGGACAGAAATATATGCAAAACAAACCTACTGGCAAAGGTAATGAATCAAGGCTAAAGGAATGCCAAAGTAGAGAAAGAAATACACCCTTGTGGGAGGAAAAGCATGACAAGGAAGAAGTACATAATCTCCAGAGTAAAGAGCCTTAGGTGAGAAACCAAAAGAGTGTCAGTAAATTTTGGAGCCTAATACAAAGTGGGCAAAACCAGGAACAGAGCAGAATGTCTTTTTATACAGCTGGAACCATGGCACCAGGTCTGGTATTCCACATGCTTCCTTCCCCTGTTTATATTAATATAGACATATATAGGCAGTAATGAATTGCTAATTTAGGCATTCATCAAAGGAGCAATTTGCCAAAGACGGCATTTCAATACTCAATCCACTAATTTACTCAGGTACTGTCCAATACATATCTATTATTTTATAACATTTCTATTGAAAGTGTGATAGAGACAAACACGTTTGGCAATCTCATACTTGACCTGCCTTGACAGCACATTCTGATTTTCCAAAAACCAGTTCATAGCTAAAGAATATAATTGCAAGTAGAGTGTAGACAACAAGTAGAGTGCAGACAAGTTTTACTGACTTAAATTGATAGAAACATGTATCTGTATTCTACCTCCTTGTTAGCTAACTTAGGTCTTGAGCCAGGAGAAAACAAGTGATCTTCAAGCTTGGCGTTCGCTTATGCCCAGAGGCATGACTCTCTGGAACCCGTTACGTGGGAGTCTCTTTATAAATTAATAGAATAATTAGCAAGCAAAACAGTAAGGACAGCAGTCTATTCCACATATGTTTTAAAACACACTATTTTGTCCATTTTCTTTTCACAGTACTAATACTCCCTCAAACAAGTTTTCTTCCCCAGCAACAAATTTTAATCTTGACTGCTATTGCCAAGTTCCAATATGTTCTAAAAGGGCAGTTTTCAGTAAATTTTCTGTGAATTTTCAGCAAATATGTACACAATTTGATTAACGTGTTCATATACTTCCTTATGCACTTAGATTATTTCCAAAACCAGAGCAGAGCTTTACTATACATTTTAGCTTTAACTGGCATACAAAACAGGAGTAAATTATATCACTCTTTCAATCTCTCTTCTGTAGCTGTAATCCACAACCATTTGAACTAACTCTAGTAATCCTGGTGCTAAAATTGGCCTTTAAGAGCATAAATATAAGCCTCTGCAACAGATGGCCCCCTAATTTATTTCAACTCACCACACACATCCCTGCAAATTTACTAGTATCTAGTGATAAATCTGGTCAAAGCACTAACATACATATTGTACACACAAGCTGTTCTGGAAAACACAATCCTCATGTAAGATATTTAAACACATTTAATGACCTTCTATAATTGAGGATATCAAGTAGTAGTACAAAGCTAAAAGATCATATCCCCTGACTCCTAGAAAAAAAATAAAATCCAAACAGTTTTAATTGAATAACAATCCTCCTACTCTAGGGATGACTGCTTTGACTAAAGAGTTTTTTCTCTTTGTTTAAAATTGATTCTAAATTCTCATCCCTAGCAAATAAAACAACCCCTAATACAAATACAAATGCTAATTGAGCAATTTTGTGCTGCAAGTGAGAAGAGCATGGAAATACAAGGCATTTCCTGATCTCTTCACATACATAATACTTCACGTATCTGAGACAACAGCTTTGCCACCAGCTTTCAGATATCATTCTCAATAAACAATTCTGTTTTATGCAGTCTTTATTTCTGCTAAGAGAAATAGCAAAAAGCAGGGGAATGTCAGGTTATATAGCTTTATCTGACACCTGCTGTCTCAGCCATCAGCATGCCACAAATACCATCTATTCCACCAATTTTTTGCAAAGTCTTGAGACATAAAAGTCATATTATTTTTGCAGACTGCTACTAGAATATTTTTCAATTTAAACAAATTAAGAAAAATAAAATGATACACATGCTATAAGTGGTTAAAATGAGATTTTAATTTGGGGTTATTCTGATACTATGCAATTCTGAGGTATTTTGCTAGAGTAACAAAATGCAAATTCAGTCTCTTTTATAAGGAAAGTCATAATCTAGTTCTGTACTATCATCTAATATTATTAACCAATTTAAACTTTGTGCAGCTGGAATTTAGCCTTTAATACAATACCAAAAATGTGTGTTCTGAAAAATATTATTGTAAGACTATGCACCAAGCAACTACACAACTAGGAGTCTACTCAGTGATCAATAGCACTAAAACTGAAACATTTACAGTAAACCTTAGGCTGCAACAGACTTTTTCAAATAAAATATCTTTGTAATTGAATTAGGTTCCTCCTAGATGACCATCAAATATGTTATTTTGGACTTATATTTCTGATATGTCATTCAATAACAAACTCATCATCATCATTATCACTATCTGTTCAAGAAAGCTCAGGATTTATATGAACAAATTAATTCCTAAAAACATAATAATAGAAATGGTTTAAATCAAAAAGTTAAACAAACTATTTTTCTTGTTACAGCTGTAGAACATTAAGATAGACAAAGTCCATTCAAGTCAAGACAGATTCCCTTTTCCCTTAATGGGCTTTATATTGGACTCAAGAGTATCCAGAAACTATTCACAAATATATATATATATATTTATTATTATTATTATTTTATTTTTGTTTGGTCCCCTAACACTAAGATCATGAGGGCCTAATAGCAAATCAGAATACATAACGGCTTTAACAATGGAGTCTGACACAGGTGAATCTACTGTATGGACTTCACATCTGAAATGTCCAGCTACAGAGTATTTTTTCTTTAGAGCAAGACTACTTCAAACCAGAATCAACTTCATTGTCTCCCAAGAGGACATGATTAGGCATTAACTGTGGAAATTTTTCCTGGCATTAAACTGAGATCCCAGGAAATACAACCTTATTTGATTTAGCAAATCTAGAAATTATTTTACAATTTCTATTTTATAATGTAAAAATCCCAGGGGTCTACCCAGTTAAAAGACACTAGTGATTATTTTATTATTTTTTTTGTGGTACTTCAACATCTGAGTATGTAGTCAAGCACAGATGAAATAGATCTATTTTTCATAAAGTTATAAATGTACCATCTTTTGGAGGAATACAGGAGAGAAAGTCTACAAAGCTGAGCAACCAAAAATGTTACAGTATAAATATACATTACAGAACCAAGCTAGGGCATCTGTAACATTCACAAAATAAATATAGCAAAGAATGTTTTTATTTCTATGAAATATTCAAAATAAATTTCAGAAAGTGTTAAAAGAAAGAAAGAAAGAAAGAAAGAAAGAAAGAAAGAAAGAAAGAAAGAAAGAAAGAAAGAAAGAAAGAAAGAAAGAAAGAAAGAAAGAAAGAAAGAAAGAAAGAAAGAAAGAAAGAAAGAAAGAAAGAACTGCCATTTCATGAGTAAAGACCAGTTTAAAAATTGTATACAAAGATGATCTGTCTTCATTAAATTTCATACTACCCTTGTGTACATGTATCTTTCTAACATCAGGATCTATCTAGTCAAGAAGCCAAGAAGCTGAAACCTGTATTGCTGACCTCCTGCCAAAAATTGATGTAATGAGTAACAGGCTGGGAATAAATCAAGGAGGCCTTTTCAGCTGTTTCAAACCTACATAGTACTGTAGGCCATCTCTAATCAAAAGAAACATTTTCAGAGGTCAGACTGCTAAGTACAATAAAGGAATTGTCAGATATTAAAGAACACATATTACAAGTGCATATGTATGGTTGGAGAAAAAAATCTTGGAAGAGAAAATATAAGGACAGAAATGAATATATGCAGATAAAAGTTCACAGAGATGTATTAAAAAGATGCAGTTTTCTGTCAATCATTGTTTGACATATTATTACCTATGCAAGGATGAATTTTCCTGATGATTACTACAACTGTGTAGGTGTACTTGAAGAAGTATTATTCAGGTCAGTTGCTGATAAAAGGACAGACATAGCAACAAAGACATTTAGCGCAAATTACAAAATCTGCTTTGGGGGTCTGGATCCACACTAGATATTTAAGAACAAGTAGGTTGCATGTTGCCATGACTGCAAGTAGTCAAGCAGTTTAAAGTTGCCTATCAACATACTCTGCAATCCCAAATTTCAGTACATTGTAGATGTATCCTAAGCAAGCTATTCACTCACACACAGTGTCCAACTTTCGTGAAGAACTTGAAGAGCTTTACAGAAAGATCCTCTAGAAAATGCAATGTATATGACTGTACTGTAATTTTCTAAGATCTATCAGAGAGCCTAAACAAAATTTATTTGCAAAGATTATGTGAAGAATATCACTGGTACAGATTAAATCATAATCTTCTACCTTCCTCAGACATACAGCACAGGATATTTCAGTCCAAAAGGTGATTGGTTTAGAAAGTAATAGGAAAATGATAGATAAGAGATTTAATAGCATCTAATAGCATCTTAATTTAAGCAAACATCAGAATTGCCAGTTAAACAATATTGATTATTATTAATCAATTTATTGAATAATTTTATTGATTATTATATTGATTATTATTAATCCACACAAGCCAGTGAATTTAAGGGAAAACTAAATTTTGTTTTCACATAATCATTTTCAGTTCAAACTTAAATAAATATCAAATTTGATTACCTACAACTTTATATTGGTAGCATAATTTAGTAACAGTGATAGTTTAAATTTTGTGACTACTTCTTGAAAAATGTTTAGTGAAGTCAATGGAAAACAGAACTGTACAAGTAACTAACTCTTTTTATGATTTGCTGTGGGATGGAGTTGAACAAAAAAAGAGAAGAGGGAAGATCAAGAGAGATGGAAAAGGAATGCACTACAATGTTGGTAGGAGAAGTTAAAAGAAAAAAAAAAATCCTTTCTATCCTCTGCCCTCACTTTTCCAACTTCTCCTTTAATTATGAACACATGAGAGCACTGAAAATGTGTGAGAAAAAGCTACAGATCATCAACATTTTGTTTGACAGAAAGAAAGGAAGTGGTTAGTGTCAAATATTTCAAACAGGAAAACTTACTGTTTAAATATCATTAATGAAATATAAAATGAAAGCTGGTTTACTATCAAAACATCCAAATATTTTATCAACAAAGTTTCTATTTTTTCATAATGCCTTTTCATGTTTTAATTTTAACTGGAAAAACGGTGGAATAGGGATGAATTTTAAAAATATTTATTGAGAAGCCCAATGAGCTTTTTTTCCAAGAACTTCATCATCCTAATATACCAGCTAGCTCATTCTAGATACAGTGGGACTGCAGATCAGACACAGAATTAAAGCATTTCGTATTACAACATGCATGCCATTAGCCTAGAACAATGTGCAGTGAGATGATCCTTGCAGAAGTTGGTCATCTCGCAGTCAGAAAACAAACACAAACTACTCAGAAATAAAACAGCACATCAGCAGTAAAGCACACAGCTTAGACTGCATACTTAGAAAAGGGGAATTGTCACTAGTCATTGATGTCAACAGGTAGGTCAAAAGGAGTTTCAGTTATTGTTATAATTATTTAACTTAGCCTTGCTGGAATCAATATTTTGAGGACAAGATCTATTTAAAAAGAAAGATAGGTTCACCTTCCAAAAGAATATGATCAAAATAAATACACCAACATATTTTGTAACCTACAACACTTAACATAATCTTCAACATATAGCAGAAGAAGCTTAGGTTTTAATTATTTTGACTGTCACAGAATAACACACATTTATAAAACATGTATTTACCTTTTGATGGGTTGTGCAGAAGTCCCCAGCTTCTTTGCTTTCTTTCCCATTATTCCTGGTAGTACTTACCAGTTCCTCTGCCCTCATAGTCAGGGCAAGATGTGCACAGTGGCCACGTCACCCAACCAGATGGAATTGTCTTCATCTACCTGGGTCATTTGATATTCCAGCTGAGGCTGAGTTTTCAACAGCAGCCCATGCCTCCTTCTATTGGCATGGAGGAGTGTACTGACTCTCCCACTCAAGAACCATATAATTTTCAGCCCTATTATTATTATATCATGGAACTGGGTTATTAAAGGACAAGGGAGAGTCTGCAGATAAAGAACAGAAAGAAGATAGATGGATAAAAATGTCATGCCTAGACTTTCAGTGGAGGAACTGACTAAACAGTGAAAAAGGAAAGTTTCCTTCCCTCTCTTTTTTCTCATCTCCTTCTAGAACTTCATTCACATTGTTGAATCTAAACTGGACTAGATGATACATTGATTTTGCCTCTCAGTAATTATTTTTGAACTCTTCAGAAGGATGGGATGAGCTCTGATGCACACTGGCACAGGTGTTACAGTACACAGACTAATTCAATAACTTGCCAAGCAAACCAGCCATAAAAACTCTACCTCACTACTAAAAGCAGAGATTCCTATGACTACCATGAGGAAAACTATAGAGGAAACAGAGGAAATATATGCTATCAGCCAGAAACACAGCTGAGGCAACAACTACTCTCCTAAATGGGATGAGGAGTCAAATTGGCATACGTAGCCAGAAACCAGTAGACATCTGTGTTTGTGAATCTTCCATACACATAGCATTGCCAACTTCATCTGCTCCCCATCTGTTTAGTAAGACAAGCTACTAGGAACATAAAGCTCAAAATCTCTACCTTTATCTTCCACAGGACCAGTGCTCTGTGCTCTGGACATCAGTATCTGAACCTTTGTGGCACAAGCGAGAAAAGCTAAATGTACAGGAGATGAAGCTCCTGTGTACCCAATTCAAGACTGCAGAACAAATTCCTAAAAAAGAGTATGCTTTCATTGCTCAAGCCAGACTCTATTTGTCATGATTAAATCTGACCAGTATACTGGCAGTCAGATGATGCCATTTAATCCTTCTATCACAACTTTCTTCTTGACAGACTGAAGCTATGTAGTTCATTTTCCCTTTGATTGCCAAATGCTGAGCTTGCCCCATACATACATTAGTGCCTGGTTCCCAAGAAAGCAGGCTTCCAGTTGGACACCAATGATGTGCCATGCCATTGCAACCCTCACAAGTAAGTCACCTCCAGAAGCACTGCTGGAGAAAAAAATCGTGGTCATTGTACTTAGGGAAGTAAAGTTCATAGGGCATAAATAGGTTAGGCCATGCTGTGTCAACTTGCCCAGCAGCAAGTTTCCAACACTGTCGAGAGGTCTAGGGAAGAGAAGGAAAATGTAAGCAACCATGGCATTTCTCCCCACACTTGCCCAATTTCCAGCTACTTTCATTTATGGAGACTTCCTGAGCCAGATGCAGCTTCTATAAACCACATACAAAATGTGTGTATGCCGTCAGGAAGGTTATTTGAGGAAAAAGAACAGGAATCCAAGGACTTCCCTCTCAGCTGTAGCTTAACATGTTGCATTTTCAGTAAACACATTCTTGAGAAAAATCTACAAAAAGCCAAAACCTAACAGAGAAACATGGAAGATAAATAAAACAAGGATCTTCTGTCCTGTTCTCAATCCCACTTTCAGAACAATTTAGTACAAATTATCAGCAAATTTATCCTTAAAGGCACTTTTTATATTTTAATACATCTTTATATTTTAATACGTATTTGTATTTTAATACTTTTTTTTGCAGTTGCTGTTAACAATGGAAGAAAAGACTGACACCTCCACATATACAAGACAGGAATTTAGAAAAATAATTGGCTTTAGTTTTTAATGTTGCTCTTAAATAAAATAAAATAAAATAAAATAAAATAAAATAAAATAAAATAAAATAAAATAAAATAAAATAAAATAAAATAAAATAAAATATGAATAAAATATGAATAGAAAAAAATATGTTGACAAATTTATGGGGATATGCACGCAGATTTTTAAACTTGTGGGACTGCGCACTCTTCAAGCAGTAGGAAGCAGTCACTGTGAAGCAGCAGTGAGTGTTTCTTTAACACACAAACCAAGAACATTCTTTGAATCTTGAGCATCTACGTAGGGGTATTGCTCCTGGAAAAGGAAACAATCCTTCTTCATTTGTACTTCTGTGTCTGAAGTAAAAGTGAATTGAAGGGGAAAAAAAAAAAAAAAAAAGCGTAGTAAGCTTATTAAGCACCAATAGTTTAATTCACACTACCTCAGCATAATAGCCACCTGGCTCCAGTTTATTACAAATCTCTGTCCAAGTAGCAGTCCTCCCAGGATGCAGAGTGATAAACTGACCCAGTGAAGCACAATTCATGTGTATTTACTCTATCAACAACAATACTGACACACTTATCTTTACACAGCAATCTACCAGAGGCAGTTAATCCTTTGTTGGCATGTCACCTCAACCATCACACTGACCATTCAGTCAAATCTTTAAGAAAAAAAAATATCTGCTTTTAGCACATAGCCTCATAGCAAAGTTGCCTGAAAGCTTCTCACAAACACGGGCAACAGAGCTCTGCAAACACAAGGATATACATGGGCAAATGTGCAGGGGGAGGAAGGAGAAAGAAAGGGTTAAGGCAAAGAGGGAGAGGCTGAGGTAGATCCCTAATAACCAGGCTTGCTGGCCTGTGACTGCCAAATTAGCGACGTGAGCCTAGAGAACTGCAAGAACTTCCTCCAGCAATAGCCCCTGTCCACTCACTCATTCGCTCCTTGCAGGTGGTGGCAGCAGCTGCTGCACTTGCAGGGCTCTGGCACAGGCAAAGCAAGCAGTATGGCTGCAGGTCACCACCAAAACCTACAGTTAAACTCAACATAAAAGGTAGGAAAAGCCCAACAATTAAATTCACAGGAAATTTAAGGAAAAACAGAAAAGGGAACTGTTAAGTCAGCCCTCATGGGAAGATAGGAATTTTTAACGTATGGCCTCATTGGTTATACTCAGGTGTAGAGAACATCGGAGCTGCAGTTACTGGGACATAAACTCAGAGCTGCTTTTTTACTTATTCAGACAGTTTTACTATACAGACCAGCCAGATGCCCAGCCTTATGGTTGAGATTGTTACATACAGAATTTGGAAATACTGCCTTTGAAATTTCACTTACTGGAGGACCAGGCTCTTTCTCCAATACTATCATAGTTTATATAACACACAGGCCAAAGAGCAAGATGAATGCACTCAGCAAGCACAGTTAGATGATCTAACTCTGTCCTTATGCCCTGTTTGTTTCACGTCAAGCGTATTTCTTACCTTAAACTGCTACTTCAAACAAACACCTCATTCTTCCTGTTCCCAATTATTTATTCTGCCAATTCTAAGTATCCAAAAGCCAGGTCTTATTTCAAAAACGGCATGATCTGGGTTGGGAATTTTTTTTTACCTCTTTTTTTTTTTTTTTTTTTACCTTTTGGGCAAAATTTTCGAACTTTCCTTTGCAGCTGTGAGGAGCAGAAACTCAAACAAACAGGGAGTGTAATGCGATCTTTTTAAGATAACTGTCTTTTTTCATTATTAAAGAAATCCCCATATTGTGGGACCTTCAATAAAATCATGAGGTAGCTCATAACAGAGCACACTCCATGTCTGCCCCATGCCAGAAGTCCTATCTCACAGAATCACAGAATCATCTAGGTTGGAAGAGACCTCAAAGATCACTTAGTCCAACCCATGACCTAACTAACCAGTCCTCCACAAAACTCTACACTTAAACATCTTTTAAAGACCTCCAGGGATGGTGACTCAACCACTTTCCTGGGCAGCCCATTCCAACGCCTAACAACCCTTTTGGTGAAGAAGTTCTTCCTAATATCCAACCTAAACCTCCCCTGGCACAACTTTAGCACATTCCCCCTCATCCTATCACTGGACATGTGGGAGAATAGACAAATCCCCACTGTGCTACAGCCTCCTTTAAGGTACCTGTAGAGTGTGATAATGTCTCCTCTGAGCCTCCTCTTCTCCAGACTAAAAAACCCCAGCTCCCTCAGCTGCTCCTCACAGGACTTGTGTTCCAGGCCCTTCACAAGCTTCATAGTCCTTCTCTGGGCACGCTCCAGGAGGAGTGTCAATGCAGATGCATCACGATGAGGAGCATCACGCCTCGATGTCTTTCTTGTAGCAAGGGGCCCAAAACTCAACAGAGTGCTCAAGGTGTGGCCTCACCAGAGCTGAGTACAGGGCCAAGTACAGGGGGATAATCACTTCCCTACCCCTGCTGGCCACACTGTTTCTGATACCAGCCAGGATGCTGTTGGCCTTCTTGGCCACCTGAGCACACTGCTGGCTCATATTCAGCCGACTATCAACTAATACTCCCAGGTCCTTCTCTGCCAGGCAGCTTTCTAAACACTCATTTCCCAACCTGTAGTGCTGCTTGGGGTTATTGTGCCCCAGGTGCAGGACCCAGCGCTTGGCCTTGTTGAACTTCATACAGTTGGCCTCAGCCCATCGGTGCAGCCTATACAGATCCTCCTGAAGAGCCTTCCTACCCTGAATCACAATTTCTTTGTGCTTCACACAACTCTTCTTCCTTTCTAGTCCCTCCACCCCACACTAAGGCTCATTCCCAAACTGCATTCCTGAAGCTCCTCATCCACTCACTTTGCTCTTCCTCACCTTCCCAATACCGCTTTTTTGTTTCTTTCCACCACATACCCTTGCTCAGTTTTATCTCCAGAGCTATAGCCTGGTGAAGATGCTAGTCTCTGCTCACCCCACACCTCCCCTGCCTGAGTGGCCTCCTCCCTGCTCCGAGGCCTCTGTGGAAGAAGCAGCAAAGCAAACCCAACCAGCCCGTGCCGTCTGCCTCTGGGACCCCAACACCTGCCCCAATCCTCCCTGGCCAGCACTCCCAGGCAGCATCCACACCTCTGGCAGCTCCTCCAGGCCATTGCCCCTACACCCACAATGCCCACCATTTATCTTCTCATTTCTGGACCATGCAGACAGCAGGTCAGCACTCACTTTGCTGGCACATTTGGGCTAATGTCCCAGAAGAGAGGGCATTTCAAGGCAGATCCCAAGGCAGTGTTTCTCTTGATTTCAATGGGAGCAAGGAATTCCTTCTACATGTGAGGGATTCACTCAAAGCACAAAACATCATCTAGCTGACAATCTGGTAACTGCACTGTACAATCCTGTATCACAGCCTGGATAAAATTAGGGATTAATTTAAATTTAATTATTTGATTTGTATTAATTTAAATTTATTTTTAATTAAAGTATTTAATATTGATTAGCAATTCAAAGTTAGACTGCACATCAGCAAGGACGTCCAAACCCAAGCTAACCAAATCCATGCCTGGGCAATGTGAAAGAAGAGAGGTGTTGTCCACAGTGATTAAAAAAGGAATCAAATGTGACACATGGAGGAGGAAGAGGAAAGGGAAGGAGGAGATTTAAAAGAGCTCTTTTTTATCTCTGTTTACATTGAGCTGATGGTCAAACATGAATGAGAAATGTGCCAAGATTTTGGATTAAGCAGAAAGGACAAAGAACTGAAAGGAAAAAAAAAAATCAGTGCTCTGGGCTACTCCCCTTCCTTCCAGACCCACATTTGTCACTCCAAAATAGTGACAAAGAGGAAAGAATTAATTGCATGGACAGGAAGGTGCAGACAAGCTCTAACAAAGTTGAACGGTACAGGAGAAAACGTATGGGTTATTGCCAGAATTAAGAAATTATATAAATATATTTAGATTTTATCCAAATGTAGACCCATTGTTAACTGGAGAAGATAACACTGATAATTAAGAAGAAAAGAACATCTCAGGAAAAGAAGCTGAATGACGTGTTTGCGTAACAGGTAAGAAGAAACAATTTTCAAATCCACTAGTAATTGAGGAAGATGTTAATCAACAACTATTAGAGATAAACACTTGATAGTGTGTACTCCCAGTCACAGTTTCACTAGCAAAGTCATCTTTGGCCTGCTAATCTTGCAGCAGTGCAGTTCCAGAAGACTTTCTTGGCACTTCTCTGAAAATTTCCACAGCAATCTGTGCACATCAGTCTGATCTGATCACACTTATTTGTCAGAGATGGGGAGGTAAATCTGAAATCTCAGAGGATAAAATTTGCAGAGGATTCGAAATTTGGTTATCACACACGGATTTTGATCACTTCATAGATTTTAGTACTTTTGGCTTATTGAAAGCAAATGCAAAGTACCAAGGAATGTCAGTCATCTGTGATGGAACAGGGGGCTTGATCCTGTAAAATAATGTCTCCAATGAGGTTCAAGCTGCTCTGCATAACTTCTGTCACCAGACATACTTAAAGGCCTGGAATTAAGCAATCCAGTATTCTTGCCAAGCTTGCTCTTCAGCTCAGCCAGTCTGACCAACATGAAGACACTACATCTGTTTCTGGCCTGCTAGCTACAATAAGGGATAATGACTCTCTATCCAGCACCCATCACAAGAGCTGAGGCTGCAGCAACGAGCTGCATTGATCCTAAAACTAGTACTGGATCTCAGCTTCCCCAAGACTTCAGAAACACTTATTTTCCAGGACTACAGACTCCTTGGTCCTCTGGCTGGACAATTAGAAAGAAAGTAGGAGTTAAGTGGAAATTTTATAACATCTGCACAAGAGTACAGACAATGAAACCCACAGTAAATTCTGAGAACTATCTTGTGGAGAAGGGCTGCCAATCTTTTCAAAAAGTTATTAATATCTAGGGAGATACCAGAGGAAAGGATAAAAAGAAGCAAAGTACTCCTTTCCAAAAAAAAAAAAAAGAGAGAAAAGCAAGAGAGTGTTTCTGGTAATTTTCCTGTAAGTTTATCTTTA